GAAGGGGTTCCTGCTGCGGGGGTGGGCTGGGGGTTCTCACTTCTGCTCAGAGGTGAGGGGCGGTGAGGCTGCCGTTTTCCTGTGAAGAAATGAGACGTTTTGTCGCCTGTGTAGAGACTTTGCTGCGGCTCTGTGTCTGCTGCCTGTTGTCCCGAAGGGACCCCTGTTAACTTGGAGCAGGTCTTGCCGTCGTTGGTTGGCAGCTGCCCATGCAATGCTTACTGCTTGCAAGTTCTTGCTTTAACTCTGGGAAGGTGGGTGATGACCCCGTGAGCAGCTCGTGTGGTGTAGTTACCAAAGGCACTCTTCAGTTATGTTTTTTAGAAAAATGTGTGGCTAGAGCTGTGGGGTGGGTGCTGCAGGGTGTCCTTTTTTTGTTTCTCGCCTTTCTGCTGTTTTATTTTGTTTGCAGCAACTGTAGCTCCCAGGAACAGAATGGCTTTGCTTAAGCCATCTTCCTGGTGGCTATTTTGTGACTGGTTTATTATTCAAATACTTTTTGAAGTTGTCTTTAAAGGTGGTGGTTTGTTATGCTACTGCAGAAGTGGACAAATAACCAAGGGAGAAATTCTGCCTAGACTAGATAATCAAAAATCAAAAGGTGTTTTTGAATACTGAAGAACTGAAACAGCACAATTTGCCTAGGGTTTGTACTTTATAGTTGATGAGGAAGTGTAACTGAAAAGCATGTTCTTACTAAGACAGCAGTGGCAAGATTTTGTTGTTAAAGTGTATTGAGCACCTGGGGACTAGTGGGAAGAAGCAGGATAGAATAAATTTCTTATGTGAACTGTTTTCCTCCATCTCCAGGAAGATTTCTAAATCACATTAGAAGCAGCCTAGGGAGAAGCTGGGACTTTCGATTCAGTCATTGTTTGCTCACAACTATAAAATCCTGCTCCACTTCCCTGAAAGAAAACCCCAGTCATCAGAGCTGAAAATCTGCTGTTTTGGTCAGTGTGTCTTCCTAACTTAAATCTCTTCTAACTTCTCTGTGGAGTGTGTTCCCATTTCAGGGGATGCACCCTGCTTCTGATGTCCTGGAAATAGGCTGCCTCTGCTTGGTGAACTCATTTTGTTTGAATCCAGGGCTGGTAAATTCATAAGTAACCTCAGCAAGTCCGCACCAGAAAGCATAGCAGCATATGCCTAGTTGGATTTAGTGTGCCCTAGAAATTTGGCATGTTTTTTATCTTGGTTGTGGGCTCACAGCCCTGCTAGGGGCAATATTTCTGAGTCTGGTAGTTGTTGTTTTGAATTTTTCTGACTGCATTTGTCAGTAAATGCAGCTGACTGCTTTTAAGCTAGGTGGCTGGTTCCTATGCTGTTATCTAGAACACCAGATACATTTGTCTAATGAGGGCTGTGTTGCCCAGAGATGGCAGTAGGTATACTCTTCTGTTCTGAGTCACTGATCTCCATAAAAATTAGACTGAACTTTTTTCCCAGAAGGACTTCAAGAGGTTTTCATATATGTTTTATTCTTGGTTTTCTTACTGACATGTGAACAATAATATAATGCCTAAAGCCTTTCTGCCATTTGGTGTGGGCAACTCTGTAAATACTTGTGCACAAAGCATTTTAAATCCAAAGTAGTGATCTTTCTTAACCTTCTTCTGGCCTGATGATAGCAACAGGTCATCTTTATACAAATTATTGACTATTCTGGTTTTTTGTTCTTTTTTTCTTTTTTAAATTCAAATGTAACAGAAATGTGGGGAAAATGAATAAAATGGATGTGCGAACTACTAGTCTGCAGAATAAATATCCACAGTGGATGCTTACAGAAAACCAAGAGGGAGTTTTGGGTGATAAAAAGGTATGTCATTGCATGGGAGAATTTTAGTTGTTGCAAGCTGCATAATTAAAGAATATTGGACTACATGTTTTTAGTTAGACCTGTGCCTCTGATACTTGTGAATATTTGCTGCTGTTTTGTCCTATCAATTGTAATTAAGTTTAGGTACTCTTGTGTTCTTTCTGGTTGAATTAGCTTGTTAAAGTATCTTTTTTTTTTAATTAAAATATCATGCATCGACAAAGGCTGTTGCTGTTACTTCTGTAGAGATTTCTCCCTGATAATCTTGAATTTTGGTGACAAAATCACTGCAGTATAAGGAAGCTTTTGGTGCTTTGTTCATGCAGTATTGTGGGCTGTATAGCAGCAAGGACTGGGGATTTTTCATCTATGTAATTTGAGAGTTTGAGTTGTAGCCTGACAGCAGAATTTGTTCTGCTAAGGCCATCCAGCTTTCTGTGTTTCAATGTATTCAGTATTTCAGAAAGTTTTGCAACTCGGAGATATCAGAAGAATTAATTGATCATCGAGATTATGTCAGTTTCTGGTGTTCCAAAAATGTTAATGTGTCCTTGGATGTTTTTTTGAATATATGAGCAGTTTCAGTATAAAATTTCCTGCTAGAAGGAACCTCCCCCCATAACATCTGAAACTGCTTTAATGATTAAAAAAGTAATTAATGAGAGAAAAGCAGACGATCCAGTTCAGCAATTTTCTTTCTATAAAGTGAAAGAATTAGTAGCATGGGAAAAAAAAAGTCAGTTAAAACCAACATGACTTACTTTGGCTGTGGTGTACAGCCTGTGTACTGCAGCACCCTGCCTCAACAAGCTCTTTGAGGAGGGTTTTGATTAAACTTTCATCCTTCATCAAATGGGAGGAAATGTGGTGGTGAGCAAGCATAAAGTCAGCAGTATTTTTGTTTCAGAATCTCCCTCTTCCAGGCAACTTACTATTTCTGAAATTGTATTCAAACCTGATTTTTGTATTGTGGCCTCTTTTGAGTGACAAGATTGTTTTGTTTTTCAAGTGTGTGATACTTAACCCTATTTGCAATTACTGGCATTGTAGTTGCTTGCATATTTTTAACCAGACTGAAGGTTTTTCAGGCAGGGTGATGTAACTTGCTGTTCAAGTAAATTTTTCAGGCACTAACTTGTAGTAAATATGCTTCTGAAAAGGGGAAGAAAACAGTGTTACATTTCACCTTACCTTGTGTGCTTAAAACTTCAATTTGTAAACCAGTATTCATCAGCTGTTGGAGGATATTGGTCCTTTTAAATATTGCATATAGTTTTAAATCAGTGGAGTTTACTTAGACCTTTGAAGTTGTTCACACATTATATCTGGCAGGGCTAAGTGAAGTAGACTGGCTGAAATGGGGGATGAAGGAAATGGGGAACAGCTATTTCACTACAGCATGCAGTAGAGATACATCAGAGAGTTTTAGTCTGACCAGATTTGAATGACTTGAGAAATGACTCATCAAATTACTGTCCATTTTTTAATATCTTTTTTCCTCAAATTTGACGCATGCAAGTGTGGTGCGGCATTTGAAGTAATGTTGAGGGGTTTCTGACACTCAAAAATGGATGTCTTCCCTCACCTTGTTCTTGGAAAGCTACTGAATCTCTTTGGTGTGAAGACTCCAACTAAATTAAATTGAGCTGAAAACTCGGCCTGCATGATTTCAGTCCAAGTGTTCGGAGTTGAGCAAAGAAACTGGGGTGTGAACCTGAATGTTTTTATTAAGGAGGGGATGTCATGCTATTAGTTGACAGTGATACAGGCCCTGCGTGTGGAGCGCAGTTCTCCTGCAAGGTTTCAGTAACCACCAGTGCCAGCCTTGCTGGGATGCAGCTTTGAAGTCTCATGCAGCATTTGCAGTGCTGATGTATCTCTGTGGCTGGTAACAGAGCTTCTTCCAAATGTTGTTCGACAGAAGTCCACTGTTCAGAGGAGTGTTTTGGAAGATGGGCTGCCATTCCTAGAGTTCTGTGGCTCTGTTGTTTACAGCTACGAAGCCAGTGACTGTTCCTTTATCTCAGAAGATATCAGGTAATAGCCCTTATTTCTTTAATTTTTATTTTTGAAAAGGGCTTGGCTCTTTGTCTCTTTCTGGCTGATTGTGCATTTGATGTGTCCAGAGGTCAACAGTTCAGCCAGAGAAAACATCTGGTCATGTTTGCTCTCTTGTTATGCATGGCAAATGTGTTGTACTGGTTGCAAGCAGAAACTGAACCTATTTCTCATGATGGTGAATTATCCCTGTGAGAGAGATCCCTGGTTTCGCTACAGTGTGTGGTGGTTTAAAAACACCTCTTTGTGCTATGCAGTTAATAGTTTCCCATTTGGACTTTTTATGGGAGATGCCATCACTGAATCTTGCAGTCCCTTTAAGCAAAAGCAGTAAAGGCTTGAATGCAAGTCATTTGCCTTTTGTGGTATGGATAATTCCATGAACTTCAGTGACTTCAGGGGGAGTATGAGCTGTAAGAAATCA